TTCATACTGCAAAAACAGGAAGATCCCACACAGTAAGGCGCCTGTCTCACAGCTGGGCTCCGACGTAGATGGCCACCCACAGGAGTCTCTGCGGGGCTGTCTTCCTCTCTTTGGCACCTTTTTTTCCCCGCCCTTACCATTTTCTCTGACTGACTTCATGAAGAGGTTGTCACTGGGAAGACGTGGGTTGCTGCATTAGCTAGTCTTCGACAGATTCTCTTTGGCCACTTAGGAGGCTCCTCGCCTCGCGAACCTAGATTAGCCTGAAGAGCAGCTCTTCGGTACTCTTGAGATCAGATCCTTAGGTTATTTCCCCTCTGGATCGCTTACTCTGGAAAATGCAAAAACCCCGAATACCAGATTCATAAAGGTTTGGGTCACTGCCGTATTCCCTCCAGGAGACGGGCGCACGCTCTCCTCATCCGGCTATGCCTGAGGATCTTCGCACAGCCTTTAACTGCTCTGCAAAGAGAAATGTGGAGAAATGATAACATTTTATCGCTTCATGGAAATTAGCTCTAGAAGAAGCCAACATCTGCAGACAGTGTTGAAACTCAACAGAGAGCGGCGCCCCCGTGAGGTAGTCACATCAAGCGTAACTGCTGCTTACTACGTGCATTCAGTCATGTCTGACTCCTAAAGGCAGCCTATTTTAAAAAATCGCAGATGACTTTTATAGAAAAGATATATACAGATAAATAGTGCTCAATCCTTTGTATAGAAAATGATACCTTTTTCCTTTTGCAAAAACGAAGTGCGCTTTTCCAAACGTGTTGCAAATCAAGCATTGGGTGTTCAGGGAGGCGTTGGCGAGATTTGTGTCATAAGGGTTCATTCACGAACGTTGCCTGTCTGTGTTGAAAAGGAGCTTTGGCCATTTCCTCCGCAGACATTATTTCTAAGCTCTAACAGGGTTTTCTTGTGAAGACTGATTCTTAAAGAAAAGTAGAATCTTCACACACTTACACTGGAGACCCATGTATCTTTGCAAGAGCAAGCTCATGCTTATGGACTTCTCGGATGCACCTGACGAAGGAAACAGTGTGCGTTCTCTCCCAGCCTCACAGCTCTTTGGGGCACAGATTAATCAGGACCCATTGTGCCCTCCTATCTGGGCTAAACCCTTAGCTTGATAAATACACAGGGAGACTCCAAGCGTCTCAGACTGTGCAATCCTGAAATGCGCTAAGTCCTATCTGCCTCCGTTGGTGACTTACTCCTGCTGGCTGAAGCATTTTGTACCTTTTGCTTTTTTCTGTGGTATAAAAGCAGTTTTCTTTTCAGGGAAGTATTGTTTGCTAGTAAATAATGCACCCAAATTTCAGGAAGCTGACACAAGGGTTATCCTAGGATCGTGAAAGTTTAGGGCTGAGAGGCCGAGACCCTAAGATCATGCCCCACCTGCACCCACCTAGGCAAAGGGAAGTGGCCTCGCAAGACCCTTGGTAAGATGTGAGGGTGAGTGATGTGGCTGTCTGAGGCAGCAGGGCTGTGCCTAGCTCTCCACCACAGACCCCATCTGGGAGTCAGACGCCACCAGCCCAGAGCCGCTGAGCTTCGCAGCCTTCCCCTCGGCTGGGGCCTCAAACACATGTCGCATGTGTTCCACTCTTTGATGTGTCTGCTCCCGCAGCCGGCCCTCACCACACTGATGGGATGCTACCCCACTTAGAACGTCAAGACACTCCTTGTCTGGCCCTTGAAGACCATGTGTGCTCCCCTCTTACTTTGTACTGAGCCCAACATAAGTGGGCCCTTCATAAGTGTTTTTTGATGAGAGCAATGATTGCCTTAGTCAGTGCGGTTACAAACAGGAGGAAAACCAAGAGTTGTTGCTAAGCAACGCTGGAAAGGCTGGGGTGGCGGCTGACACTGAGTGACCTCTGTTTGCGGACTTGTTCATGCTGTGTGTCCTAAGGTTGCCTGAAGATGACTTTGTTTTCTGATGGCAGCACCATGTCCTTGCCAAAGTCTCATAAGGAGAATTTGTGTATTCATGGGAATACGGAAGGTGATATTCTTCGGTTAACTGCTTAATGAGCACATGAACCCCTTCTGCATTCTTGATTCGGAAGAGAGGAAAGGAGAGTGGTTCACTGAGTCCTGGCTCTGAGAGTCATCCTTCTGTTTCCCTGTTGGGACTGGTTGGCAACATCTGGCCTAGGTGCCTCCTGCAATAGGAACCTACAGAATGAAAAGAAAAGGGGGAATGCCTACTTCTTCTAGTCTGGTTCCATTTCTACCTGTTGCTGTCTTCTCAGCTTAAGTGCCAATGTGGATAACAGAAATGTCCCCACCATCTGCAGGCTGTTAACTGTCATAGTCAGCCCATGCACCCTAGTAGGTTTGTTTCTGCAAGACAGCTATTTTAGTGCATGTGGAGTTTTTGCTGGCTTTTTCATTCTCTAACTGCTAGGTCTTCACTGCTTGGCCTGCCCCTTTCAGGTATTCAATAAATGATTGCTGAGTATATGATACAACATCAATATTGAGTTAGTACAAAAGTGACTCCAAAATACCCCTAAGTATTTCAGCAACACTGAAAGAAACAAAACAAAAAAGAAATTGTTTTGATGTTACCCTTGGCTAAGACTGGGGCAGACAAAAATTATGGTAAAAATCATCTATCTCTATACTTTCTGCAAGATTCTTTTTAGTGTTCCAAGAGAAGCTTGCTTCTCGACTACAATTCAGCAGACCAGGCAGAACTATAAACCTCTTTCTGCTCATAAGTTTTCAGCATAAGTAAAGAGGAGAGGTGGTTGGAATAGAGCCTGGAATTAGAAAAGGAATTACTAAGGTGAGATTTATGCAGGAGGCTCCGTGGCACAGAAGTTCAGTAGGCAGTGGACCCTGGCTGGCACGCCTGCCACAGAGATGCCTGGTGGTGGTTACAAACATCGTTTCATGGGAAAACATCAGGTGCGTGATCCGAGTTCCCCAGAAAGAGGGCGAAGGGGCCTCGGTGAAGGCCACGCATGACACAGGGCGCCTGCAGGTATCAGTGCTGGTTGCATTGACTTCACCTGGCATGACCGGGACTCTGGGAGCAGGAGCGGACGGCGCAGGTCTGGGGTGTCAGTGCAGAATGGCCCTTGGGTGGGGTGCCTAGCCAGTCCCCAAGAAGGCTGTTGCTGTGACTGGCACTATGCTCCTGCCTGCAGGAGCTGTGCAGGAACCTAGGGAGGCAGGGCAGAACGGCAGGGAGCCCTGCCTTAGGGGGCATTCCCAGATTGTTTTTTGTCTGTGCCTCAGCACTGTGCGAGGAGAAAAGGGCAGCAGGGACTACATGCAGGAAAGGAGTGACCTTTTCAGCTTGCCCTAGATTGGGAAAGTGACATAAAATGGACTTAACTCCTAAATATTTCCAACATGAATAGGATGATGTAATACTAAACTACCAAGTAGGCATCGCCACCCATAACCCCATAATACCATCCATCATTCATTCGGAGAATGACAATTTGTGTTTCCTAACACACTTTAGGCTAGGTCGGAAGGTTAAATGAATTTGGTCCGTTTGTCCAGTGCAGTCCAATAGGCATATTAATGAGCTGATGGGGTGCAGCAGATTGCACATGGCCACGAACTACGTTATGAAACATACTCATCCTTTCCACTTCCATTTCATTCTAAAAAGAGGCTGAAAGTGCCCGTAGACCGTCGACGGGCAAATAACCCTCCAAAAAAGCTACAATTAAAACAGAAATGTTGTGGCTGCCTCGCCTGCAGCCGGCTTTGGTGCTAACCTTCGACACTTTTAAAACGATGTTCAGAAAGGGAATGAATGCCACGCGCCTTCGGTGCCGCTGTGCTGCGTCTGTCCGTCAGCAGGGAGCCGGCCGGCTGCAGGGAGAGAGAGGGTTAAGCAGCAGCTTGCAGCAGCCGTGGAGGGCAGGACTGCAGATTTCCTTAAATATTCATGGGGCTTCCTCCATTCCAATCTTCTCCTTTTTAGAAGATGGCTGTGCTTCCCCTGCTGGGAGCAGAATCGCGCGCTCCTGGCGGGGGGCGGAGCGGGGCTCCTGAGGGAGGAAGCCCCTCCGGCCACAGGGACTGTCTGCAGCGCTGCAGGCTCGGTGCAGCTAGCAGGGTGCGTCCCCGGCGGCGCTCCTCCGAGAGACCTGATCTCATTCTTCTCTGCCAAGAAGTAAGCGCGAGCGCAGGCTTCCTGCGAGAAGAGAGTGCGAAGAAGGGCTTTGTCTCCGCCAGGGGATGCCTTCGGTCCTGGAGGCTCTGTCTCCTCTAAGCTTTGGTTATCGCACCACGGAATCCGCAGGGCTTTCCTGAGCATTTCGGACCACTCTCTCCAAACTGAATTCTTTCAGAGACATTGGTGGATTGTGGCACAAAGAGCGTCCAAAATGCCCGAGGCGAACTATTTGCTATCTGTGTCTTGGGGGTACATCAAGGTGGGTCTGTTTGGTTGCGTTCTGTGTCCCCCAGCATGCCAGCATCTTCCTTTCTGTGAAGAGACGTGGCTGAAGATCTAATCTGTGCGCGCTCCGCGGAGCCCATGGGGCTCTGACTCTGAAGCAGGGCATGTCGCGTTGGTCGTGTTTCGGTAGACTGTGATGAGCTTGATGAAGTACTCTCAGGCAACCCTGTATTTTACCGGGTGATTTCTTTCTTTAATTTTTCCTTTAGCTTCTCATTTCATCACCTCTCACTAAAAAGCTTATTAACCTAAATTAAATTTCCAAGTCAGGTCCCAATAAATGTAATTTAAAAAATAGTTACGTTTTTAAACTACAGTGGTTTTTAAATTCCTTTTTTATGTCTTGAGAAGAAATCAGGTGTCAGTTCTAAGAAATCTTAAGAAGACCTTTCCTAAAGTGGTGTCCACATAGCGTCAAAGGAAAGGGTGCTAGGTTCTGCAGAACCGATACCATCTATCTGACGTCTCCTGATTCCTAGAAAGTAAGGTTGAAAACGCTAACAGTGACCATTTTCTCTGTTTTTAAAGGTAGCTAATGCATTTTTTTCCCCCCAAAAAACAGTTCAAAAGAATGCTGAACCGGGAGCTGACACATCTCTCGGAGATGAGCCGGTCTGGGAACCAAGTGTCTGAATACATTTCAAATACTTTCTTAGGTAAGATACCAATCGAGCAAAACCTGTAATCGCATTTCTAGCCTTTTTCAAAGGGAAATTCCTTGACCCATGAAAGGAATCCCTTGTCAGTTTGGAATGGGTTTAGGTCATAGAAAAATATATCTATTTAAAATAAGAATTTAAGGTAATCTTTTAAAAGAAAAAGCAATCATAAAGATGTTTCCTTTAATAAAAAAAATTTAAAACATATTCAAGGCAGAAGGTTATTACAGGCTAATTGTACTTATATGACCACAAGTATCTGTGCCTTTCCCGCCCGCCTCCTTCTCTGCCAAGACCTCCACAGTAGAGGGCAGAGCTAGCTGTGAAGCACTGGTAGCTACAGCCCCCTTAGCTCCTGTCAGACAGCCTCAGTCTTCCAGTAGCGAGGCTCTGGGAAAAGCTTTCCTCTAGGGTGTTCTGACAGGAGCAACAACTCCACAGTGGGTCCAGCAGAACATGCTTTGGAAGTGATTGGACTATTTCTTTGCTAAGTTTTTTCATAAGGACAGTCGTGAAAGAAAGAGAGAATTTTCATGCCTTTAAAAGGCTTGGTGTTCACTAAGCTAAGTCTTTGTCTTCCCAATCTAATCCACCAGTGTCCTCTGTTCTTACATTGCTAATACTTAACACAGGACCCGGACAAAAAGGGTTGCATGAAGGCTCCCAGTCACTGCGGTGAATCTTTTTTGATGCTGGGAATGTCTGATCTCAGGCGTAAAGGCAATGCATTTGTACAGTGAGCCGAGTTGGACTATTTTAATGTAATCCGGCCACAGCATCTGCAGCGCTGTACTCAATGTGCATGAGCAGCACTTAGAGTCCAGTTCTGTTGGCCGCTAACTTATGCTTGTTTATAGAATTCCATTTCCAAGGAAATGACCCATTCTTACAGCTGAGACTCACACCCTCTTTTCTTGGCATAGCCCCATATCATTAAATCAGTGGCGTTTGCCTTGACGCTTGTGGAAGTGCACGCCTCTTCTGGTTTTATTCTTAAGAATCAATTCTGTGTCTCCAACACTGAGCAGCTCCTGCCATCAGCAGATCGATCAGCGCTCTCTCTGGGCAGCCTGGCACAAAGCTCACCGCGCTCCTTGCCTGCGACGAGCCTGTGCCTTGCTAAGCAGGTCTACCCCTGAGTGCTGCGACTCTTGCTTTTCCCCAGCTGCAGTCGCAACAGCCTTTATCAGAGAACAAAGAAGAGGAATTCTGTGTGCATCTTGTCTCCCAGAGTGGCCAGGTCTAACGAACAGAAACCACTCCGTACTCATCCTTTTCTTCTCCATCCTTCCCCCTTTGCCCCTCTGAATGCAGAATCTTCTAGGGAGCGTTCCATAAACTGGGGCTCTTTTAGGAACACATACAGGCTATTGACAATAGAGAAGAATAAGGTCAATGGGTGCAAGAATTCATTTACTTGTAAGTTACATTTTAAAATACTGGAGCTTGCCATCTCTGCAGAAGAGGCTGGAAGCCTCTAAGACCTTCTTAAGCAGTCAGAACCTCTTATCCTCAGTCTCCTCCAATACCCACCTACCAAGGACAACATGGACACCTTGGGTTTTTCTAACTCACCTTCATTATCAGCACTGGCTAAGGAGGAGGGAAGCTGATAAGACAATAAAGATAAGCTTTCAATCCCAACATTGCATATCACAGGAACAGATAGCTGTGTATTCCTGAATTTTCTGCATGCTACCTAGGCACATATCCCAAAGGAAATCAATTGTTTGGCTTCTTATTCTTATTGTGAAGATTAGATTATCGAGAACAAATTGTTGAGAAAGGCTTTTAGAATCCCAGTTCTTGTGTACTCTTAGCATTTGGAGGGTAGTGTGTGCTTGTGTGTGTGTGTGTGCGCGCATTGTGTGTGTGTATGTGTGTGTGTGCATGTGCATGTGTGCACATGTGTGTGCATATGTGCGTGTGTGTGCTTGTGTGTGCATGTGTGCTTGTGTGCTTGTGTGTGCACATGTGTGTGTGCATGCACATACATCCATGAGCATGTGTGGTAAACTTCCCCATTCAGACCACACAGGCAGCTCAGAATTTTTTCAGTTCTTAGACAAATACAGAAATGTAAACAATTGGATCGTAGTCTTCCCATTTTACAGGTGAGGCCACTGATGGTGCATTTATGTCTCAACTCTAAGATTCTGAAATGATCCGAGTTCGTCATTTCACTGTGACGCCCTGCATAGCGAGCCATCAGCTTCCAATTTGACAATCTTAATAAACAAGTTAGACATACAAATAGAGCTGTTTCTAAATGGCAGGGGTTGGAATGCTGAGTCCTCTCTTGTGAGCTGTGGAGTCTCTCAGAGGCTTCTGTACAAAATGCCAGATCTCAGAAGGACCAGGCTCTTGGTACAAACTTCTCTCCCGCTAAAGGAAAGAAAATCGAGGGTGAGAAGAATAAACTAATTGACCAAGGCCACCTGGCCAATGTAAGCCACGACTAGGACTTAGCTTTCCCGACTTCTGGAATTAGACACTCTGCCAGTCCTATGAGGGGTTCAGAACGTACAGAAGAAAATCATATTTAAATAATATGCACATTATTTGCAGAAGAAAAAGGTCTTTAGGCATCGAGAATGTTGGACCTGAGGCCAGCAAAATAGCTCAGCAGATTAAAGTGCCTGCAAGCAGGCTCAGGGGCCAGGAGTTGAATCCCCAGGCCTGCTGTGCCGGCCCCGCCCCTGGCGCGTGCTGAGATGGCAATTGAGACTGGGCATGGTGGCACGTGCCTGTAATCCCAGCACTTGGGAGCTGTAAACAGGTGGATCACTACGAGTCCAATCTAGTAGTGAGACCCTGAACACCCTGTAGACCTTTTAAAAAAAATTTAAAAAAAAAAGAATGTTGTACCTGAAAAATAAAAGGTTGATCAGCAGTTTCTAGAAAGGCTTTAGTTCAGAGCCTGGCCATCATCCCAGTGAGCAGTTTAATTTGAGATGATAACCTTACAGTTGAAGTCAAGTTTAGAAGTAGTACCTTGGTAAGTCACTGTGGGTTAAAGTGTCACTCAGGAAGGAAGAAAATCCCCTAAGCCAAGGAAGGATCTGTGAAACTTGTGTTGCTTTCACCTAAAAAGATGGTGTCCAGTTGGCCAGGGAGAAAGGCAGACCATAGACTGGACCCCGCGGGTGAGCCGGATGACAGCTTCCGGGTTGCTGGGGTGAACAGAAATCAAAGTGTAGTATCAGGGCAACAGAGAACGATGTAGGTGGAAAGAACATTAAAAAATATTTTATATGCTATATTGCAATTTGGCTAATATTTTACAGACAGAAATAAAGCATTTGAAAATCTAGAGTTTAGGATTTTCAAGATGCGAGGAAAAGCGTTAGGGATTTCTGCGATCACGCGATGCTGGGACCTAGCAAGGAAAGAATGGATCCTCAGGAATGGCGCGCACAGGGCGCCTGCGACACGTGGCCCCTGCCTGTGCCCACTTGCTTTATGCTGGCCCGCTGCTTCCTGCTGCACTCTGGCAGCTCTGTGAGTGCCCATTTGCTGAGGGTCCCTCGTGACTGAGCCAGTCGCAGGCCACTTCCACATGTGCTGGCTAAGCATTTAACAGGAAATTCAGAGCCAGGAAGCTACCAGCCAGCTGTCCTGGTGCTTGCCTATGGGGACACTGGGCCTGCCTCTGAGGCACAGCTGTCCTCCCTCTCTGGGGCTGGCAAGCTTTAATTAAACAAGGGGGTGGGGCTGGGAACCCCAGAAAGGTGCTTCTCCCCACAGGGGTGGAGGGGTATCCAGCAGCCTCTTTAGCCAGGGTGACCGGGAAAGGCGCGGCTTTCATGGCCTTCTGTCTGAGCAAATTGTAGTGACTACTAGGAGGCAAGTGACATAAGCAAAGTAGTTTCACAAGCAAGATGGTAGATAGTTTCTATGCCGGAGATTACATGGCAGGAAAGAGACTTGGAAGGGAAGCCTCAGGGCCCAGGGTCTGTGCTGTTAAAACATTGGAACAAAGTCGTTGTGAAATAAATATTTGTTAAATAAATATTTGTTACATTGTCCTTCGAGGTTGGGCCAGTTGCTGACTTCAGAGAGACTGGAGTTGCCACTGCTTCCCAGCACTGGCTGGCCTCCTCCAAATCCCAGGGGACTCTTCGCAGAATTTCCGATTTGTAGGGCAGGGTGGTGGGGCCCGTAAGTTTCCTGGGTACATCTGGTGCAGTACTAGGCTGGAAAGCCCTAAACTCACTGAGCTGATTAAGATTCCTTCCTGCCTGCTCAAAAGCCACAGTCTAGAGGCTGATGGCAAACCACACAGGGCTGCAAAGGATAGAAAACAGCCCTGCTCCAGCTCTGAAGCCGAGGGCCACGGGGAGCTGGGGTGGTCGTGCTGTGATAAAGATCCGCAGGAGGCAGAGGACCTGGGAACAGCAGGTGGCTGTGGCCTTGTCCCCAGCAGCCTGCTCATCTCCATCTCAGCGAGCCTCCTGGAAGCACGTCATTTTCTAATGGAGGAGTTGTCTCTGGTCTGATCGTCACTGTTACAAGCGGAGATAAATGTGGGCACTTTGGAGAGCTGCCTCCACTGTGCAGCCGTAGGGTGACATTTAGTCCACAAGTCACCTGGGAAGCAAAACAGGACAGGTGACTGCTGGCATTTTTCACAGTGCCATCTGAAAGACAGCTTCTGCTCACAGAAAGACACTTCCTCCACCGCTGCTAGCTCTGTGGCTGCCTTGATGCAACAAGCTTTTTAAAAATATTAAATGAAATGACTACAAATACTTAATGAGCATAAATATATTAGTAAATGTAATTTCTATTATAAATGAGAGGTCTTATCGTTTAATAAAGGAATTAATAGACATACAGCATAAACTCAAACTGAAAGTACAGTCTTTCTCTGAGCCTCACATGATAACAAAGCAAGGTTTTAGGGCACTTATCAGAGGATTATACAAGCCATTTATTTTTCCCACTTATGCTGAACCTCAGCTAGCATCATCTGAATTTTTAAAATTAAAAAATGATGGAAAAATGTAATAAAATGAACAGAACATGATGCTCATTGCTATAAACCTGAGGTTAACTGATAGAGTTTCGATGAATATTTTTGCTGTTACATACACATATAGATTATTCTCTTTGGTGGAAGCGCCATGCGTAAGTGTAGATATTCCAGCCTGAACTCACAGCTCTCCGGAGTTCTGCTGAGAAGCGTGTTGGGCTTGAGTCGAGATTGTGCCACTTCTTAGACAGGTCGCTTGACTCTTTCAGACCTCGGTATACTTGGCCATCGCATGAGCAGCGAATCATATTTCCCCTGCCTACTTTGCAGCCTCACGTCAGAAGTCCAGAAAGACCATACTGTGAAAGTCTTTCATAAGATCAAAAGCCCGCCGCTCCTCGTAGCTTTGTTGCAAATGTAGCGTGTACGCGCTGCCGTGTGGCCATGCTGAACAACATGCCTTTCGGTCTGTTGCAGACAAGCAGAATGATGTGGAGATCCCCTCCCCCACCCAGAAAGACAGGGAGAAGAAGAAGAAGCAGCTGATGACACAGATCAGCGGAGTGAGGAAGCTGATGCACAGTTCAAGCCTGAACAACACGAGCATCTCCCGCTTCGGAGTCAACACAGAAAACGAAGATCACCTGGCCAAGGTGTGGGAGCTGGGGCTGTGTGCCTGGAGTGTCAGGACAGCAGAAGGGGCCCTTGCTTTGTGGCTAAAGTTTATAAAAAAGATCCTGACAGAGCCTCTTTGCCCTTTGCTGGAGTTGCTGGTTGAAGATCCTCTTTCTCTACTGAAAGACCCTTTTCTGTCCTGAGTTGGCAGCTCTGATTTGTCCCACATTTTGGGGACTGTGTGCCAAGGACCAGTGGGAAGACCTGCAGTGGCTGGGAGGGCTAGAGAAGAGAGAGAGATAGGGACCCCACTGGCCCCGGGCTCAAAGCCCAGTAGTGGAGGAGGGCACAGAAGCCCCTTCCAGCTCCTAGAAGGGGCCACGCACAGTGCCTTTCGCGGTCCTCACAGCCTGGCCAGAGGAGAGGAGTTTGCACTGATGCTGAGAACCTTTAGGGCTGCCTTCCGGAGGTTGATTAAGCTATGGGCCAAGCCTCTGGGCAGTTGTTCAATTGCTCATCTTAGAATAACCCTGCACCCCAGGCCTGAAAGACTTTTCTTCCAGGTCTGCCTGCGGCCCAGGAGCCCTAGGAGATAATGTATGACTGGCATCCTTTGCATGAAATCAGGGTTCATTTCTGCACAGGGTGGCAGCTGAGTCTCTCTGACCTGACATCAGTGTTAGTAACCAACAGGCAGAGGACATTCTCTGACCCCGTTTCTTCGCTGTCACTGAGGGGCAGAGAGCTGCAAGGGAGAGGTGGGGCGAGGAGGCCAGAGTGCCCTCTGCTCCTCATGCTGCCTTCAAAAGCAGCGCTGGCTGATGTGAGGCGAATCTAGGTCAGCAACACAAGTTATAAATGGATGCGTACTTTCACTTTTAAAAGATGTGCAGAAATTTGTAGATGTCATGAAGAGGGTCTCCCACTCTCTATGCCACTCTCTTTTCAGATTTTCATGCAACATAAACATCTAAATGGATACTGTGGTGATTTAGGCAACCAGTGTGCAGAACATAAAGCTTGGACAGTAAATGTAAAAATATTCATATGCCTAAATTCCTCTACTTTTGATCCTAGGAGCTAGAGGATCTGAACAAGTGGGGCCTTAACATCTTCAATGTGGCAGGATACTCACACAACCGGCCCCTCACCTGCATCATGTACGCCATCTTCCAGGTGAGTCCCCGAGGACCAGGCTTGGTGACCCCAACAGCCGGCTCTTCTTCTCTACCCTAGCTGATTTCTGTCATTTTGCTGCCTTCTGCTTTTGAACACCTGCTTATTCGTTTCATAACCCATTTCCTCACCCAGGAAAGAGATCTCCTAAAGACATTCAAAATCTCATCTGACACGTTTGTGACCTACATGATGACCTTGGAAGACCACTACCACTCTGATGTGGCGTACCACAACAGCCTGCACGCCGCCGATGTCGCCCAGTCCACGCACGTTCTCCTCTCCACGCCAGCCCTGGACGTGAGTAGTCATGGTCTTTTTCTCCCTCCCTGCCCATCCTCATGGAAAGACATCATGCAATTTACCGCATATTTATAAAAATAATTTCCCTGGCTGTCCCCAGATATGTAATCTGTTATTTGCTATGTGTAGTACCTGCCAGGTGGGTTATTTATTAAAATGGGTAGCATATCTACTTGTTTTGCTTTCTAATACCCAATAATCTTTCCTTTCTTTTTCTTCTAATTGAAAAATTACTTAATTATTAATTAGCAGCAGCCATGCCTTATTCCTCATTGAATTGCTGATGAGGAATCCAAGTGTCTCGGTCAGCGCCTGGAATTCTGTGCCCCCTCAGCGTGCCTGGACGCTGTGGAGTTGCTAACACCATCTGGCCTGTGGAAACCTCACAGACATATAATATGAAGTAGCTTGTATTGTTGTGTGAGGAACAAGCAGCCGTGGGCTTGTTCTCGTTGGAATTTAGCAGGTGGATGTTATAGGTCAAAGGAAAAGTAACTGAAAATCTAGAGCAGAAGAATCAGTAGTGTTGCAAAGAGCAGCAGTGTGCCGCGGAGCCAGTCGGGATCTGAGGAGGTGGCCATGTCCCCTTCCGCTGCAGTGGCCTGTGCTGTGGACCAGTGTGCACTGGGGGTGGCAGTGGTGGCCAGGTAGTTCCAGGATGTGCTGGCCTGCGGCAGGAAGGGGCCAGCACAGTCCTTCACTGGCACCTGTGCACAGTTCTGTGGCTTAGCTTCCCTGAATCCTAAGAGAAATGTAGGAGAAACTAGGAAAATGAGAAGAGCGAGGGATCCTTTCCTTTGGTCCTCTGAAGGAAAGAAACTGTTGCTTGCCACTCCTCGGGAGTCCACGCGGTGGAGCACCACTGTTTGTCACCATCTGGTATTACTGGTCGCGTGGTATGGTCAGAACGTGGCTGTGAGTGCCATAAGCCTTTAGACAAAGGAGACTGTGACATGCGCAGGAGTGGTGGGACTGGTCATTCTGGAAGAGACAGTTGGCCTGTGAAGGACCACAGCATGAGAAAAGAATTTTCTGCCCTGCAGTCAGCCATGATCTGGCGCTCCTAAATATGCAGGGTGTTTATTATTATTATTTTTATGTATTTAGCAAGGGTCTCACTACAGAGATCGGACTCGTAGTGATCCTCCTGTTTTCAGCCTCCCAAACGCTGGGATTACAGGCGCGCGCGCCAGCACGCCCAGTCTCAATCGCCTTCTCAGCGTGCCCCACGGGCGGGCCAGCATGGTGTGCCGGGGACTGAAGCCTGCTCCCTGCATCTGCCCACGCAGGCACTTTAGTCCGTTGAGCTACCTGGCCTGGTGGCCCAATACGCAGCTGAAATCACTGTGCATCCTGGGGCGGAAGCCTTGGCGACAGGGCACCAAAGAGCTGGGAAATGGCCCACGCCCTGCCCATAGCAAGCAGGCTGTGCAGATGTGCTGCGTGGGGGAACATACGAGTACTGTGACCACGCTGTGAGGTTAGCTTGTTGATAAAAGTAACTGGTAACTTATTTTGTAAGTGTGGAATTCAGCCTGTTAGCTCTAAGCTGCTAAGCCCGAGCATGAAGGTTGTCGTATCTCAGAGCAGAGCTAGTCTGACGAGCTTCTTTGGCTTGTGTGTACTTGTGTTACATAGCGACTATGCTCCAAGACACAAACACCAGGCATTCACACATACACACACACAAACACACACACACACAGCATAATGCATTGTGCTACTGACCTCAGCCTGACGTAATAACCAGCTCTGATGTCATCTTTTTCACATCAGAGACTTTCTGGCAATGAATGGAATCCATGCTTAACTAAATTGCTCTACTGAGCCACCATACAAATCAACAACCCCTCCCCCAGCAATACTGAAATGCGCTACTTTCAAATGAAACTGAACAGGTGGGAAAGGCAATTGGGTGTGGAGTTAAATGGCCTCCTCTTGCCTCACAGGCGGTCTTCACAGATCTGGAAATCTTGGCTGCCATCTTTGCAGCTGCCATCCATGACGTTGATCATCCGGGAGTCTCCAATCAGTTCCTCATCAACACAAGTGAGTTCACCACTAGCTCAGTCATATGGATAACTGTATGATTCACCGCATTTTTTTCCTACTAATGTTTTCATTGTGGACAATAACAAGGGTAATAATGAGGTAATCCTTCCATTCCGCTGAACTGCTCAGGCCTTTCCTGGATGCCGTGTCCCAGCAGGCAATGTAGTGCAGTGTTTATGCTACGTGGGGACTTGAAGAAGATCAGTGGGAAGCCATGAAAAGTACTCAGAGTTTGGAAAATGTGACAGGGAAGGAAGGAAGACAGATTTAGAATTATATAGTAAGGCAAGGAGCCAGTCTTGGTGATAACATGCCAGTGGCTTCAGGTTTTGTGCCGGGCTCTTCCACACAGCACAGTGACTTGCTAGTGTCTCTCTCTCCAAGCAATACTCAAATATTCCTCAAGCTTATAATGTATAGTCTTATACTAAGAAAATTCACTCTCAATTATGTCTTGAAAATCCAAGTACTTTTTCCTGTTGGGAGTAGCGGCTATCCTGTTGTGGTCATGACTGACATCGAGTGCTGACAGTTATATTAAAACAGTGCTTGAGGTGCTTGCCATAAGAGAATCCTTGCTGACATTTTTGTAAAAAATGTCCTTCTTCTATGGAAAGAACATAAACTTTGGGCAGCTGTTGTCTGCACAGGTTGTATCCATTGACTTAGTGTGCGGACGTGAATGGATCCATGGGTAGACCAGTTGGCTCCATGCAGGCACGTAATCTTTCTGCTTTAGATATGAATATGAAAGCCTGCTCGTACAATTGTGCTTTTACAGATGGCACCTTGGAGCAGGAGAGTCCTCAGGTAGCTCCAGAGAGCCTGCCACCCGTTCTGAACAGCCCAAATCCAAGCACTGCCTTAAAGCAGTGGGATGTGAGTAACAGCACCGTAAGGAGGAGCACATGGCCATCCCTGGGCTGGCATTCTTGATTAAGAGAAATGCGATTTCATGAGTTGGATGCTGGTGCTTGCAGCAGAGCGCTGTCTAGCAGAAGATGTCTAGGCACCTGCGTGTCATAATTTCTGGTGTAGAGAGGCAGAAGACAAAAAGTTCAGTGTCAGCATTGTCCAAAAATTATTAACATCCAGTTGTCATACTTATAGAAAGTTTCAAAAAGCTACATTATTTGAGAAAAACAAAATTTTACACAAACATATTACCTTCTTTGAAAATCAGAAACTCACAGTTGCCCTCAGGGAGCATATGTGGAACTGAACACGGTTGGAAAATGTTACTGCAAGAGATCAAGTTCAGTTGTATTTTCATTTCATTCTTTTCTGAAGCATAAAACAGGTGAAGACATAAGGGAAACCATAAGCTACAATCAAAATGATTTAGTTATTTGGGGCGGCTTTACCTAATGTCAGTTTCTTCACCTGAGGGGTAAAAGGAGAGAAAGGACTATAAGGGGCAATATTCTTTCAGCCGCAGAGAAAGCAGAAGCAGGAATACCTTCTAGAAGTGTTGCTAGTCCTCGCTTGCCATCTGTGTCTGCTGCTCTGAGAGGCAGCACCCTGAGGCCGGCGCCTCTTGCACAGATCTGGATTTGGTTCCATGCTGAAGCGATGCCAGGGTCCGGGCTGGGCGGTTCTCATTGCATCTTTCCTGCGGCATCAGTGTGTCCTCCTGTTTGCTAGATTCCGAGCTTGCTTTGATGTACAACGACGAGTCTGTGCTGGAAAACCATCACCTCGCCGTGGGCTTCAAGCTGCTGCAGGAGGAGCACTGTGACATCTTCCAGAACCTGTCCAAGAGGCAGCGCCAGACTCTCAGGAAGATGGTGATCGACATGGTGAGACGCCGGCCCGCCGTGCTGGGGCTCAGCTTTGCCCGTGCTCTCCCACACGCTGGAGTTACCAACAAGCTTCCGCTTTGTCTCTTCCCAAGGTGTTAGCAACAGACATGTCCAAGCACATGAGCCTGCTGGCCGACCTGAAAACCATGGTGGAGACCAAGAAAGTCGCGAGCTCGGGCGTTCTTCTCCTGGACAACTACACTGATCGCATTCAGGTATGTGATGGAACTATGTGTCACACTACGCCAAACCAATGACGTTTTGAAAAAAGCATAAATTCCATTAGGCGTGCGGTCTAGGCCGCTGCAACAGCTTTGAGCTTATTTTAAGAACAAACTTAGGAAAATGGACTTGCAAGTTTTTCCTCAAATTTCTGAGGAAAAAACATAGCTATTTATTGAATTGCTTAGTGCTAAAAATAAATGGCAAAATCTACTTATAGCAGGGCATACATGACTGTTGGCCGCAGCACTCGTGCTTGAATATAAATCCCTCCGACTTGAGTTTTCTGAAGTCTGTTTTTGTTCCACAAGCTGCCATCACCTGATCTCTCCTTTCCATAAATGGGAAATCTGAAGCCGACTTCGTTTAGTAATCCCTCGCACTCCTTCCGGAGGAGGAAGGGAAATGACAGCAGCATTTAACCTCTAGCATTCCCTCGGTATTAGAATTCAGAGACCGTCAATCTACAAAGATACATGCTCCTCTGGGGACCATTCAGTGGTAAACGGCTCCCCCTCTCCAAACCACGGTAACCCTGCTCTGTGAGGCATGTGCGTCATAATTACAGGGCAACTCCAGTGTCCCTGAGTTCTGGGCTACAGTACGAGGGACGAGAGGGACGAGATGTTCTGTAGTGTTCACACCTGATTTTTTTTTTTGGCTCCGAATGCCTTCAGGGCAGGTTTGGCTGGCTTGAGTTGTGGGGATTGAACCACAGCAACCTGAGCCTGACTGCTTTGTTGAAGCAGCCACTTAAAGAACTGAGCTAAGGGGCAGGCCCCCTTACACCTGATCTTGACAGGATTTCCGAACTCGGTGATTTCAGGTCCTTCGCAACATGGTGCACTGTGCAGACCTGAGCAACCCCACCAAGTCCTTGGAGCTGTACCGACAGTGGACAGACCGCATCATGGAGGAGTTCTTCCAGCAGGGAGACAAAGAGCGGGAGAGGGGAATGGAGATCAGCCCGATGTGTGATAAGCACACAGCTTCTGTGGAAAAGTCCCAGGTACTGTGTCCCGAAAATGATTTATTAAAGTTCTTATGAACCTGCTGACGGGGGAACTGGAGAATTCTACCTGGTTCTTTCTCTCAGCAGCATACATCTGTATGCATGAACTGGTAAAGAAGCAGCTTCAGGCTAAGTGTGCTGCCCATGACTCATCTGCCTTCCGCATTGTGCTCAGGGTCAGCGGGCGGGCTGAAGCGGGCATCAGAAGCCGCCGGTGTTGGGGTTGTGGCCCTTGCGTGCTGTTTAGACAGTCATCCAGACTCCACAGAGCCAGCTGGTGGAGCACTGCCCCTCGTCTCCCCGCTCCTCCTAGCTCTCGCTCACCAGGAGCTCAGCCCCTCACCCTTCTCCCAGCACCCTGCGGAGGTCCTCTGCCCGTTACCAGGCACACTGCCACTACCTCCAGAGTGATTTAAGGCCTTGCCCATGCCCCCCTCGAAGGCAGCCTTCTACGCCTTAGGGAAGATTCTGGCAAGTGCAGATTGTGGCCAAATTCTGTGTGTTCTGAAGACAAGAGAGAAAGCTCTGGGGAGTTTGGGTTGCAGAAAAGCCCTGAAGACCAACAGCTGCAGGATCTGTATCCTCCAGGGTAGCGTGGAGCATGGCCTCTACGCAGGCATCAGCAGTCACTGACATGGTGCTTTTAGGACATGAGTAGTCCGTACCAGGTACCTGATGGAATACAGTCAGAAGGTGCCCACAGTCTTTAACTCAAGCACTTAGGAGTGATTTTTCCTTACTGTCTAGCTTAATTCCGCAAATACCTGCTACCCTAAATGTGCGTGCATTTCTACTATCAATATTCAGTTCTCTCGCAATTCATTTTTGTCGCTTCTTAGAGATCCAAGTTTAATATCCATGAAACTCATCCAAAGCCTAACAGCTATCAAAATGGAGCCTGGTCTTGCATTCCCAGGGCCAGCTCACACTCCATAGGGGTTTGACTGACCACGATCTGAGTGACAGGGAAGACGCCTGTGCCCAGTGACAGCAGTGCTTTCTGCTTTCGTGATGGCTGGTGTGCTTTCCCACACTGTCCCGTGCACTCTTCTGTTTGAAATCCTAAGAAGTCATGCTAAGTAGAGAAAGCAGGTTCTGGGCCAGGGCCCAGGGAAGGCAGCAACGGTCGTCTTGGTCCAGCCCAGCAGCTGCGTGTTACCCATCTCCCTGCCCCCGAGGTCCCCCTCTGCTCTGTGTCGCGGCGATGGACAGGTCTGCCCATGGCCTGGCGGCATGCGTAGCCTGGGGCTTTCTGCAGCTGGACTCTGCTGAGCTGTGCCTGGTTTCAGTGCTCAGAAAGGTCTGTTCTAGGTGCTCTTAGGATTTGCAGGGTTCTCTAACCGTGACTTAGGAAGTGAACTGGGCGGCCTGTCTAAAACATCCTAGGCCTTGCTTAGCAGAGCCAGGTGAGGAAGGGGAGCAATGGCAGGTGTGCAGTCTAATGGCTTCTCTACCACCTTGAGATTCCTTCAGATCCCTAGGAAACACTTTGAAAATGTCCCCCAAATCCATTAAACACACGTGAAGGGGTAAAAGGGAGAGAAAGAAGGTCTGGACCATCACAGTCAAGTTCTGATAACCTGCGCAGCTCAGAGATGCCCAACCTCAGTGTGAGTCCTGTTTGTTAGGGCCAAGAAAGAACCAGAGGGCAAATCAGCCTCAGTCTGTCCCTCTTCCTCTGCCTGTCCCTCTCCCTCTCTCCCTCTCTCC